TAAAAAATGCATAAGTCAGCCATAATTTGTTCCGAAACTTGTTCAAAATATCAATATATACTCGATTTTATCTGTACTACACTGTGAAGTTCAATAACAGTTTCAGAACCAACAGAAAGTACTTCAATTTTTGGAAGGTTTTCTGAAAAGCTTTCGGAATAAACGAATATTTTGTACTAATTTCTACTACAGAATACAATGTAGCGCAGATAAAATCGAGTATATATTGATATTTTGAACAAGTTTCGGAACAAATTATGGCTGACTTATGCATTTTTTAATTTCCAATGAAAATAGTTAAAAATGGATTATTTGGTTTAGTATAGATTTTCGCTAGTTTTCTGAAGCTTTTTCGAAAAACAAATCACAGTTGTCTATAACGTATATTCCATGTGTTTTAGAGGCCGATAGGTAGGTCCTCTGAAAAACATTATAGGGTCCGAAGCGTGATAGATAGAACTCTGAGATTTGCATAGTTTTGGAGAGTGAAGCCGGTGGTCCGAACCATTCACTTAGAAGTCAAAATCCATCTTTTTTTCGGGGTACGGGGATGGTAGACCTTTCGAAAATCCATTTTTTTCATAGAATCATGCCCCAAACTGTCCTCTATCTAATACTGAAAACCGAAGCTCTATAGCATTTTCCGTTCATCAAGCCATTCAAATGACATCTGTAGACATTCTATTTTTAAATGGGTAGTGATCATTTCATACCACTTCTCTTTTAGATCGCACATACAACGATACAGAAGCGAATGGTAATACCGCTTCTCCTCCATTAAACTATCCCAGTGAAAAGTATGTCAATTACCAGTATTTTTCAGCTGATTTAATTCTCTTGTTTTTTCTTCAGTTTTAGACCAATTGATCAAGCGAGAGATTCTGGCACCTTGAGTCCAGCTGACATGTTTCGAATGTCAAGTATGTTATTGATTCATCTTATTCATACTATATTGTTAGAATTTTTAGATACTCTCAATATCGATCAGTGTCATTTGCGTGTAAAAGTGAGATTTGTGTTTTAGGACCGCCCATGTATGGTCCTCCACGGCCTCCATTTTTTCCACCGTTTATGCCGCCAAATCCTTTTGCAATGGGTGCTCGTTTTCCAATGATTCCTCCTCATCATATGCCAGGTGGCATGATTTCTCCAATATCTCAAATAATAACCAATGGCAATGGTATTGGAAGTGAAGAAAATTTCGGTGAATCCACGAATATAACGCCAAATTCCATCATATACGACAATACTCAATCATCTTCCGTTAATGGTATCACCGATCAGAATACATTGTCTTCGACGATGAATCCACAATCATTAGGTACATGTTATTCTAAAGTCTTTATATCTTTAATATTTATTTTTATGCATTTAGATCACGGTGATGATCAGACGAAGAATAAATCTAAAAACCAGAAGAAACTTTCAAAAGATGAGAAAGATAAAAAGAAGAAAAGTAAAAAGAACAAAGATTTAAGTACTACCACAACGACCACAATAAATACACATATGGAAGATGTATGATCAGAAAATGTTTATCCCTACTCTTATATTGTGCTGCATCTGATTATATACGCGTGTGAAGGTGTGTTGCATTCTCGTGCACTATTCAATTAATTTTTAAACAGTTACCGACAAAGGATATATGTACATTTTATTTATTTACAAGTGACTGTCATCATTATTATCATATTACGGTTCTTCATTCTTATTTACCAAGGAAACACTCTTTTTATTGGCTTCTCCATGAAGCTTACCCATATTTTATGGAAGGAAAGGGAGAACATAAACATTAATCGTCCACCTCTTTTCTTTCACGGTTTTTTTGTTTATGTTATTATTTGTTTATTTTTAATTGTTGTTATTTTTTTTTCTCGCTCGTGTTAACAGTCATAATATTGTCTAGTTTTTCTCATTGATATAAATAGTATAAGCAAAAGGACAGATCATAGTTTAAAGAAAACAAAGATTATCGAAATACCTTCACTTTGTTTGCTTGACAAACGATGTATACATAAACAAAATATAGGTTTTTTGGCAGAGATGGGCGAGGCGAGTAGGATTACTACTCAAGTACAAAATCTGTGATACTCGTACTCGGGATTTTTTTAATGATTACTGGAAGTAGTACTCAAGTACTAGATTTATAAATTAAGAATTGGTCAAAATAATCGTTGTTTCCTTTTCCATGTTTTCTTTCAAATCATATAGTTATAACGTGGACGCACATAGGCTATAGAAATAAAATAAAATATTCTATATACGATGTGGCAATTTTTATTTCGTTTTTATATATCTTTATCTTAACAAAATAATAACAGTTAGCATAACTAGATATGGGTAGGACCAAGGCTTTTCAGTTCCGGTTCCGGTCCCGTAAAGTTGTTTCGGTTCCAGACGCTTTTTATGCTCCCGGCCCTCAACGCAATTCTACTCATACGGAAAAAATTATATCTAAGTATGGAAAAAAGGTAAATTTGTCGCTATTTTTACGAAATTGTCAAAAAAATCCCTTTGGTATCAATCCCGGCCTCAGTCGAAAAGGTTTTTAGCCCCGGCCCGCCCATGTCACTGTCGTACAGAGGAGAAAAAAGTGGACTGTATTGAACGAGAAAATGACCTGCACACTAAAAACTAATGTGTCGCAAATTGCGACATGATCATCTGCGGCACCGAGAGCCACTTGCGACACATTTTTGCCCTTCAGGCTGCGACACATTCTGCTGAGTATTTCTACTATAAAGAAAACAGTGGAAATTCAGTATTTTTGCTCTCTTATTCGATTTTAAGAATATCTTTAGTTCGTTTTGGGTGCACTATGTAGTGTCGGTGAGCTCAATCCGCCCGTAATATTCACAGGCCTTCAAAATATTCAGTTTCGCAGATCTGGGAGCGTAGTTAAGGCCTCAGATTGCTTGATTTTCGTCAGAGAAAAAATGTTTATCTTAGAAAAGAAGTTAAAAAGACTTAGACAGGGATCTTTATCTACGAATAACATCAATGCAAAATTGAAAGAACTTAAAGATTTCACTACAAGTAGGTGTACAATAGGTGGTACAAGTAGGTGTTTTGTACCTTTTAATCCTTTTCCGCCTCCGTCATACCTTTACCTACAGTTCATCACGTCATAAGTAGTTTTTGAGCGCTAAATGTTTACAGCTTAAAAATACCCCACGCGACGCCATATGCAACAAAAACAATGCGCGTGTCCTTACGGGCTAAAGGTAGTTAATAGAACAATGATTTTTTCAAATTGTGATCAAATCAGGCCCAGTATCGAATATGTCGTGACATATAGCAATCTGCGCTGATAAAAAATACTCGGCATGGGCATTTACGGCGTAGGTTTCTCATGTGGACGTAAGAATTTTGTCGCTTGGGGTTAAGCGTGAATATCATTCACGAAATGGGTTGCGTGAAAAACTGACGTGCGAATAAATGTGAAGATATTTTTCACAATGAAATTAGTGGGAAACATTTTTACGCGTGTCCGCAAGTGATACTTTTTTACGGAAATTTTAACATGAGAAATTCACGTGTGGTCACTACACACTTCACGACTTTCATCTGTGATCACGTACAAAAAATATGACGCGAAACGTTTTCGTGACCAGTTCACCCGTTGTCACAAGTGGAATATATTTTTCACGCGTGTACACACCGCGGTACCTACTAAAATTTCCCCATGGGTCTGGTCATATATATTAGTGAAAATAGTCTAATCCATAATCTGGTAGAATTTTCACAAAGTGGAATTATTTGTGAAATAATGATTATTTTGAAGTTTCTATCAAGAGGAATGAATGAATATATAGTATACATTATCGACAATGTCTCCTGCTTTACCAAATTCAATCGACTCGTAAGCTGTCCTTTTATTCATTACGCAGAGAAGAATATCATACAGCATTTACATTCAACTGGTTTACGAAAATACGTAGAAAATTGTTCACAACATTTGACAACAGAAAAATTTCGAAACAGTTTACGTTAGTCTGTGAGGACGGGAATTGATGTTATAAAACAAAAATTTTTGAACAGGTAAAGTAATCTTCAGCTAAATATAAAAAACAATTTCTGATTTATCAAAGGATAGGTGGTAAATATTTTGATGCAAATACAAATAGTAACACCTTGGGCGTTTTTGCTTACATCAAACGGACATTTTCATTCCAAAACATCTCATTTGGTAGTAGTTTATTTATATAAAGAAAAGGATCAGGTCAAATGTTTAAATCGATGTTATGTTTTTGTACTAATAAACTATCTAACAATTTACAGAATATAGACGTAGAGTAGTGGTTTTGCAGTTTATTACAAGGCAAAGTTCGTGTCTTTGAATCTTTATTTGTACAAAACCGATTTTATTTTTCGATAGTTTTAGTTTAGAATGCTATAATGAATTTTTTCCGCTTGTATTCTGAAAGAATAAAATGCCAATTCTTATTAGTTCGCTAAGAATTGACGTTAATATTCTAGATAGATTGCATAAGATAAGATATTATCGAGTATATTCGGTACAATTCTAATTTTAGATCCATTTATTGTTAACGTACTTTTAGTACCTGCTCCTAGATTATATTTTATTTACAACTACTATGGACATGTGTTACATACACATTCCACTTATATAAGAAAAGTACAGAATTTCAGTTTTTCACAATGAAAAAATATCTTATGATTATATATAAAATATACATTCTCCTCGCAAAAGTGTATTGTCTTTTTTTTTGTTCAACTCATTGAGTAAAAAAGTGAGAAAACGCCCTGATACACGTGATAAAACACTCCTCTTAGAAGAAAAAAAAAGTTTAATTCTATTATGTAGCCGTTTTGGCACAAATATAGATTTTTTTGTTTGTAAGTAACGTACTATGATAGAGGTCAGGTACATTCCTCGTAAAATAACCTGTATGATGGACAGGTACATCACGTTCGTATTTTGTAAAAAATACTTTCTCATAACTCAAAATGGTCACATATGTAATAGAAAGAAAGATGCTTTTGATTGAAAATGAGTGTCTTCTATAAACAATTTATCAGTTCAACTCCATTTAATAAAAAACATCTGATCGTTATTGTACTAAAAATATTCAAAAAAAATATGACAGAAAAGCAAAAAATTTTTCTTTTCTATTCTTATATTATTTCGTTTTTTCTTTTCTTCTTTTCTGCAAGTTTTTTGCTGAGTCATACGTACTACTCACTCGTATAAATATCATGTTCATTTATGGTAATGCTTAATCATTTAGCCACGTCTTTGTACACGTTGTCAGTTTCATATACAAGAAGTGTTATTTCATCGGTATTCGCAACGACCAAAAGAATGATAAAACATCATTCTAGCTATCTTAGAAATTTGTTCAGTCCATTAATTTATACAATAATGTTCAAACAAAGATTCATGATGTTAATGTGTATTAAGCCACAGTTGAATTTATTATCAAATATTAATTTCAGAAATAATGCCCAACCGTTTGATGAAATAATAATAATTGGTGGCTATGGAGATTTAGATGACGTTAAAACGAAAAATCCATATAGCTGAAAACAATTTAGAATCGTCTTAGTGGTTTTAAAATTTCAAAATTTCTATGTACAATTCAAATGTTACATTATTCTGATGATAAATGATTTGAATTAGTTAAGAAATTGTTCTATGGTAAATTAAATATATTTATCAAACATCATTTTTCAGTTTATTCTACCAGTTGGTTTGACAATGATACATATCGTTTATTTGTATAATTTATTGCATTATAATACGTCTACTCAAAATATGATCAAACAATATTCTTTTGATATTTTTCGACATGCAATACTATACTGATTAAAGTATTTTAAAAGACAATTTTCACTTTTTCAACAAGCAATTTGTTTTTGTTTTGTGTACTTTATATAAAATAGAATAAAATATGAATTTAACGTTTGAGTTTTTATCACATTTTTGAAAGAAGCACATGAATGTATAAGATCAAGAATTAAAGGACGAGAATCTAAAAGATCTCAGCTGTTAGAAATACTATACAAGATCTGAATGCTAAAGAATAATTTTTTTTCATATCAAAATCTATCATCAAATCTAAAAACAAGCATGTGATACATCTCAAATATTTAAATGAATAATCGTTAAAATATCTTTTTTCTTATATGCCATGTGATAATACATGCGCTAAAGTTACAAAAGGTAATCTTTCAACGTTAATTAGAAATCTTAATGTTCGCAAATATTGCACTGAGCCTTGGAGAATTGTGTATCAATATTGTATAAAGGTATAAAAATGAGACGAAATACAATGGTAAGAAAATGTTTCGAGATCTCATTCGTGTTATATAACAAAATAGATTGATTGATTAAACTCTTTTCAAGATGTAAACAAGAGTTTTCATATTAAAAAATTTATTTTCCAAAGTTCAAATCAATGAATCAATTTTTTAAATATCTTTTAATTGTATACTGGTGATATACACTTGCTGCTAATAATAACTGGTGCGTGTAAATATAAATGTTATTTCGTAGAACT